GATTCCGGGCCCATCTGCCATGGTCTAAGTTGTTCTGTGGTTTTTTTGGATCACTTAGGCAAATGCTAGGGCAGTAATATTCCACAGATAATCTTTCACTCTGTTATTTCTTCGTTTCGTCTGTCTCACCTTTCTCATCTGAATCACAACCCACAATTCCTTAAAGGAGATAGAAGAGGGTCTTCCACCCTATCCTTCGACGCTGTTCAAAGAGACTGTCCGCTCATCAGCATTGGTAAGAATTGGCGGGAAAGAAACAAAACCTTGTAGCATTTCGCCATTTAGGGGTTCTTTCCATGAAGAAATTTGAAACAGATCAATATTTGGATTGCCTTTCAAGTCTCCTTCTGTGAAATATCTTCTTCATTACGAGTCCAAAGTAGTCAATTCTGGCCTGACGTTGGTTTAACAATTAGTCCAAAAGCGTTTGATAAGGATGCTACAGAAATAAGTAGAACCGTATTCTCTTTCACTAGATACGAGGTCACAGAATTTGCTGGGTTCCAATTTATATTTTAATTTTACCCTTAGATATTTATACATCCCCTCAATAGTAAAAAAACAAAATTTTATTTTTATTTATTACTAATTGCGTGCAATGCTTAAATTGTCTAAGAATGAATAAGTGAAGCAATTTTAATCTATCTCATCTCGTCTTGTGTGTTCTCGATACCAGCATTCAACATTCAGCTTCTTCCTATTAAAGAAACTATTTATCGATACGGCAACATGTTTGTTTACAATTCGTCTCAAAAAATCTTATCTCCTTTGATTTTTAGTGTCCACAAGATAATAACTAGATAAAAGAAATATGCTCCAGTTGTTCTTCAGAATGCAAACGCGTGGTCTCACGCTGGTCAACTCATCGAGCGCCTAATCGATCTAAAATATAGTTGTTCTACTTAATTTGGCCTGTCGGATATATTAGATAATAAACGAATTTGTTGATCAGACCGCACAGACTGCATGGTTCACGATTGCATATCTAACAATGACATCACATGTATAACTTAGTAAATAAAGCGTTTTTATATATAATAATAATTATTAAAATAGAAAATGGTAATTTCAGTGGATTTTTTGAAGAACTCAGGACTTCGAGTGCAACTAAAGGATACCCATACCCTCAAGGTAAGGTCTTCAATTTCATCCAGGACAAAACTAAATTCAAGAGTAATCACTACCTCAATGAACTGAAAACTTGCAACGTCTTCTTTTAAATGATAAACTACGAAAAGACCCAAGACAGTACAGTGAAATAATCCTTTAAATCAAAACATATACCTAGTGTCCGACCAAAACTGGTTTTTACGACCGAAACCGAAACCGAAACCGAATTTCGGCAACGGTCTCAGTTTCGGCCGAAACCGAAACCGAAACTTCCTTATAAGGATCATGTTTTGAGAGAAAAAGAGAGAAAAATAAAGAAAACGTCAGTTTTATTTTTTTATCTTTAAATCATATAGCTCTGCAGTCTTTGACATTTTCACTTATTGATAATCAAATCAAAATCAACATAACAACCCCTCATTTAAGGAAATACATTAATTGCGCCTTAAAAATACTAAAAAAAAGTGAGATGTTTATTTGAGTAAGTATTGTATACTTCGCTTGGATGGAATTTAACGCGCCGAACATGACCGAGCAGAGCGCGATAATTCCCGAACGCAGTTTCGGTTTCGGTCGTAGTTTCGACAGGTTTGCCGTCGAAACCGAAACTAAACCGAAACTCGACCGAAACCGAACTTTCGGTCGGACACTACATATATGTGATGACAATAAAATTAATAGACAATCACTGTTTATACCCGACTTTTTTTATTAATGTAATATTAGGTACTTATGCCATTAAAAAATTTTTATAATATTCATCGATGAAGAATGTTTCTGTTCGCTGATCAATACACATACGAAAAATCATTGTTGTCATCATCGATATATTCCAAGGAATGACTGAAGAGGAACGTTGGGTATCATCGTTCGTTCTAGACAGATCTCTTTCAAATCTTATGTATTAATAGTTCTCATTTAAAAGTCGCAATATCATTTGTTAAACTGAATGGACCACGTTACAAAAGAGCCCTGATCATAATCGCCATTGTTTAGTACAATGCGTTGATTATGTAAATTTTTCTTTATGTACATGTACGGTACCTGATCCCTCTCTTTATCATTTTAAAAATTTAGCACTTCACGATCACTACATGCATTTCGTTGTTAATATATTAGAAAAAGAAATTTTTTTTTATAGAAATGCATTTAATTCAATTGATACTGAGTTGTTTCTTTTTACTAAAGAAATTTCAATATTTTCATAAAAAAAAGTATACAATTCAAACTAGCGTAATCATTTCTAATTGATTAATTTAATTTTTTGGTAAATACAAATACACCATACGTTTGAATCACGTATTTGATCACATATGAGATCAATATTTTCTGGAACCCTAATTCCAAATTTCCTCAAGATCTTATGGGATGCATATGATCCTGATCATGTTACTAAAATGAAGAAATTTATTCTTTATACAGGGTGTTAGTGATACGGCACTATAAAACAAAAAGATTAAGTAAATGTTCAGTGGTCAGAAAGTCCACCGTTTTCGCAAAAAACGTATTTGAAAGTACAGTCCGGCCCTGGTAGGATCACACACGGAAATACGACATTACAAAGCCGTATTCCATCAACTGCAGCATCCATGTTGTATGAGTATTTCTTTTGTATTTTGTACTCTTAATATCATGTAGAGGTGTATCAGCGATGAACAAATTAATTAATTAATTGTTTTCAGATTGGACGTCTAAGTATTATTATGTGTAGCAGCATAAAAGTATTCGATGTAATTGCTTAGTCGTTATCGCAATTTCTCTATACGTTGTCAATTCACGCCCAGGGCCGGCTTGGAATTGCAACTTCGTCTAGCTTGTTACAAATTTTTTTTGTACCTCAACCATGCTGCTTTACTCACTATGCGATTATCTATTGCATTTAGTAACCCGGGACCTTTGATTCATTCATTCGCTTCCTGGCTAGGGTGTGACAGCAGTAGCGACAATTAGTTTAATTTAATCTAAAGAGGGTTGATTATTGATTCACACTCATGTTCAATTAAATCATTAAAATGAGTCCTTATAAAAATAAGATTTCACACTTCGTCCTTTCAGAAATAAGGAATAGGATCTAAATCTGAAAAAATGTAATTAAAAATATTTTGAACATATCCTACCTCAGGATGTGCCACCATAAACTCATATCATTGTGTTGAAAACTTACCTTCACGTTGGGTTTTAAATGTAAAAATTAAAAACGCCTAATTAAGGAGATAACCTGCAAGCATGATAAAGTCGCTTAAGGATTTCTACAGGATTAATACTACCCTGAAGAAGTCCTGCTGTCAGCAATAATGGAGACTATTTTATTTCTATTATTTATATCTCGTATTTAAATAAAAATAAATTTCAAAAAAAGGAAAGTGAAAAGTTGTTCCACCTTTATACTGTGAAAAATGACAACTGATATAAATACATAAAACAAAAAGTTAAAAGAACTCGGGTGCATATTTCGTGTTGCTTTTTTGCAGAGGAATTCACAAAGGTCACAGAATTTNCTTTCGGAGATTCAATTACACACGACTTTTGACACTAATTGGACAAGGCCCGACAAAGATGATACGGTCGGTGTTCTTTATTGTAAAGAAATAAATTAGTGCCTAATATTATGGTCTACATATATCTGAAATTAAATAAATTCTTCTCCAACAAGAGGTAAAGAAATTCATTAATTTTCTTTAAACGACACATTGCTATTCTGGCTTAATTAGTCATCTCTTAACTTCATTAAATTATAATGTTTTAACATATTAGGAATATGCCGAAAGTACTATCAACAACAGACCTTTGATACCGAACATATTGTTTTTTATATCATTTTATTGCAAATTTTTAAATTGAAAGAAAAATTAATTGCATTAATATGATGTTTAATAAAAAAAAGCTTTTCTCGTAAAGTATGCATACTTGCAATTAAGCTCCCAAAATTCGCTTTTACAGCACTCAGAGTATGCATTACAAATTACGGTTCGGTCGCGCGGGTTGTCTAACAAATCAAGTAACTTTCAAAATAAATGGCGCAAATTGTAATAAGGATATTTAAAAAGAATTATGTGAAAATATGAATCCATTTCTAATGAAAAAAAGATGCAAGCCAACCAACTATTTACGTAAATAGGAAAAATTAAAATTAAAAAGTACTTTTTACCAGTTATACATAATAAATAAATATTTTTTCTTTTAAACTTTAAATGCTTATAAATAAATGTTTTGGTGAAGTTTAATAATACTTATGGCAACAATTATAAATCATAAACTTTCCTGAAAATAATTAAATATCTATCCTTATTGTTCTGATAATTTCTATTACTACATGTTTGGGGTAGACACGAATACTTCATAAGATATATATCTACCTATTTTATGTATTCTACTGACTCACGCTTTCATACTTTTATCAACAAATATAAATATATTAACAAATACCAATATTTCTCATACGAAAATACAATTAGGCCTGTTTAAATTCAATTTCTTCCTTACGAGAAGTTAAACTCCTTTATATTTCTTGTAATCATGTCTTTTGTTCTAGCTAATGCAGCTTTTAGTTATAAATTTTTAAATAACTTTTTTCCACCAGAAAACAAAAATAAATACGTAAGCCTATTATATGAATTAAATATATTTAAGTAGGAAGGATATAAAATTTACAATTTATTGTCACTATCATTTTACTATTTTTATGTAAACAGATAAAACCATTTTCCTCTCATTACAAGCACACTCGCTGCGTGTTTTATCTGGTTTAATAAATTCCTGGAGAATGACAAATTACATACTGGTACGAGATAACGTAAGAACGGAAATCCATAAACAAAAATTCTTAATAGTAAATAACGATAACACTATCATCGAAAATACCATACTATTGGGCCAAATAAAAGTCAACATAAAAGCATATAGTTTATTATTAACAATATTTATACTCTTCATCATCAATATTGTCCGTTTACTGATTACAATTACAATAATTGCTCCTAAACGCTCAAGCTAAGTAGAAATACTCATTTATATTGTTCACTTAAATTTAGATAAGTATACATATATTATTTATTTATACTTTGGAATTAATTTAACTACATTACATATACATACAGAGTAATTACATGAAAATGGGACGTACAAAACAATAACATCATGGCTAATGCACTCCCCCATACAATTTTGTGGACCGAAACTACCAGCAAAAATATGTATTCCTCAATTATACTTACCTACATATGTACCTATGTACCTTATCTACACTTCTTTTATTCAACCACGTTGAAATTAACTTATTTTACATACAAATGTGTGCTAAATTACTTTTACATTTTTTAACTAAAGTTATATATCATAATATGTGTACATTTTCTAATAGCCTTATTTTTCCAGCTACAACATTCCAACGCCATTCTCTATTAATAAAATGGTGGCCTTAAAAGGCCAAACAAAATGCTATGTAAAAGATAAGGATCAATAAGGACCTATATCGGTCCAAAAAAAAAAAAGAAAAAATATATTGAAAAAATATGGATGCACTTTATACATTTTCTTAGGTGATAAAAAAAAATAGCATTGTAAGGATATGATGCGATAACTTTTTATTAGCACGCTAAATTAGATGTCCAAATAAATTCGCAGTAATATTTTAATGTTTTCATATCAGTGCACAACTTATTTAAAAATTACGTGAAACGTCTATAAAAAATGCACATTTTTTTTGAAAACGTATTAGCCTAGTTTAGAGTGCTATAAAAAATTGTTGTACCTTTTCTTCCAACGTTATTTTGCTATCAGACAGATAACCTACTTGCAGAATTTTTTTTTAATTTTGTGAAGGAAATTAGGACTTATTGATCCTAGTCCTTCAAGCAAAATATAGGTACGCACTGGAATAATTGTAGACTGTACTTAGACACTAATATGGTTTTTGTAAGTCCAAGAAAAAATTACATAAACCGTAAGCATTATTTTTAAATTAAATTACAATTATTTAAGTACTTTGTTAAAGTACAACTGAAATGACTCATACCCAAGAAAACAATACGTTATCGAAAACATGAAACCCACTTAATCCGCCTCTACCTTCCAAAAGCAAAATAACCAATGCTTTTAGAACATATAAAACATATGTACACAATTTTTTCTTGTTCTTCATTACACAGTTCAATTTTTTGAATAAATAATTACACTTTAATTCTAAATAAACTAATCACGATTTCATAACAACAAAAAGGAGAATTAATATTTTAATTTGTAGTGACTACTTTTATTTTAATTGGTCGTATGTATGACGAAATATACCACAACGTAAACAGAAAATTTAGGAAATCCAAAGATAACAATTAAACTTCAATTAATTTAAAGTAAAACAAACAATTAATTATATTTAGTTTTCTTTCTTTTTTGCTTTTACGTAATTTAAAATAGTTTACCGTAAATATCGTACATAAGCAAACTCGTGTTATATTTCACTTAAAAGAAAAGCGTACTTAAAAAAAAGAGTGGTAAATAAGAAATTTGTTTCGCTTTGTAAATTTGGTATAATCAACAGTACAAACGAGCAGAAAATCCATGAAAGTAATTTCTAACTTAAATTCGTTAAACCCAAGCTAACGACCTTGCTGAACCTTAGGAAAACTCATTTACGCAAAAATCTAAGAATAGCGAAGCTAAAAGAACGAAAAAACTCATAAATAGAAACAGTCATCGTCGAGTTTATATTACTCGTCATTTCAATTAGAAGAGTAATATATTTATTCAAGTTATTAACTTATTAATTTTATTGCACGAAATCAAAACCGTTGTACTTATGCATGAATCACTAAATCAACGCTATGGACAATGAAAGAGATATTCAGTCATTAAACAGAAGGTCGTCACTCTTCGAAGTAACACGAGGAAGAGGCAGTACCGACACAGACGGCTCCCGTATTTAATTACAGCCATTAAAAAAAAAATCTCTCCCGATAGGTACATGCCACAATAGCATATATATAAAATTATGTGTACCTAATACCCACAATGTCTGCTACTTTTATCCAATTTTTCAATGAAATTTAAGTACGCCAAAACAAATACAATATCTGCTTTTTAACTAAGATTTATTTATGGCCAAACGACAACACGTGTCTAATTATCAAAATAATTTGCAATTAGTGGACGACACTTAATTCAAACAAACAAAAAAATACTGCAGAAAATGGTGCTGGAAATGTAATGTACAGCTTATTAAGATTTCGTTTCAATTTACTAAAAGACTACCTATTCAAGAAAACATACATATATATGACGAATCTTTTCAGAATCGAAAAATTATCACATTATTGAAACGTGAAAGAAAGTGAAAACGAAATCTGAACACCCTGTAACTCACTATACATGCAAGTAATATGGACGAAAAAATTAACCTAAGTGGTATCAATAAGATTTCCATTAACATTGTTCCTCTTGTCACGTTAATGTACCTATTTAAACCAGTGGACATAAATAAATTTCTACAACAGCATTTGATGTCTGAATACACCTGTTTTTATTGGATATATCGAACCAACGAAATAATTAAGAAAAAGTAATATTTCTTTAAATCCAATACCAATTATTTGAAATATGTAATCATATCGTAATTTTGGCAAGGTTTTGACAATTACCAATTACTTATATTATTTTTAAATTGTATGACCAAAAAGTAAAGCTAGAAGTCAATTAAAAAAACAATGCCTTCATAAAACCTTTATGGTTTCAAATAAAATTGGTTATATAATTCTTATCGCACGATATAAATTTTCAGAGCATAATAACAATTTCAACAAACTCGATAACTGATATAATAATTGATTCTAATTTCTTAATCACCCTGTGTATGTACTAAAAATGATATCGAAATTGCTAACATGGGAAATTTAAAAATATTATTAGTAAACAAAATAAATGTAATTGGGAAACAATTGACACACTATTTCAATGTTTATATATAAGTTAAATGGATCAGTCTGCTTCCATTTAGCAATACTGTTACATACTTTCTAGGTGATGAACTGATAAACAATGGGAAAAAATAAATTAATAAGACAAGTTGATTGTGTTGGCCCTTCATTTATGAAAGTTAATTTCCAAGGTGACTGAATGAATGAATCATTACACTTTCTCAAATTTGATAACGCTGTCTTATTAGTATCAGTATTATTTCACATTAAAAGTTAAAAAGCCTTTTCCTTCAAAAAGCACCCTTCAACTTCTGATGGTTTCAAGTTTATTTCATTCGAAGTCATCATGGAAATTGACTTTCATCAACTATCAAGCAATCATGTAAGTTAATAAGGCCAATTGCAAAAACTTAACAATCTTGAAACTATAAAAATATATGTTTATTAAATAAATCTTCGTATTGTGTGACAAAATGTAGTATTCGCACTATATGAAAAAACCTTGACATGATTTTCAATAATTTTCTGCATAATTAAATCATAAACAATTATATATACAATGACGTGATATTTTTTACCTATCATTAAAGTATCACTGATAAGTTTATATGTAAGTATTAATAGATTTTTCTTTTCTAGAAACGGTCTAAACATTTTACCAATATTGTTTTATGGCTATTTGTAACATTAATTGAAAACCAGATAATACGAAACAGTAAATTTTACCTAATTGTATTACCGATTTTGATAATTTTCAAGCATTCTGTTATGACCTTTACAAACAAAATGGCCCAATAACGTCAACAATAATTATTACAACTTATATCATTACACCTCCTTATTACATACTAAAACTAAAGATCTACAGAAATCACAGAGAATATTATCTAAAAACATCGTTCCAGTATTTGTTATAATGTAATATAACATTAGCAATGAGTATTATAAGCCAGAAATGGAAAAACATGTTGGCATAATAGAATAGAGATAAAGAGAGAGCTCAGCAGTTGATACTCGTTGTTTAATCAATAAATGAGCTCCTTTTATTAGTACAGTACAAGCAATACCTCGCAAGAATGTTTTCAGTCTAGTCAAGGTGGCTTTTTTTACCTAACAATACTCATTCTTTATATAGACTAAATAATGGCATTTTTACATATTTTTTTGTTTTTTTGTTTATGCACACCCTGTATATAGGAACGAATCGCAAATGAAAAACAAAAATCTGTAACCGTTGGTACTTAAAAGGGGATCTAGAGTATTCTATCGAACACAAGAAAAACCCTAATTGTAAATATTAGGCATCTTCACAAATTTACAAAGCACCAAACGGATCGAAACTGACTTCTTGCTTCACCTGTTGCTGAGGTGGTGTACCCCCTATTTTCGGACTGCCCATCGCAGGTTGCATTCCCATGGGAAACTGCTGCATTGGAACACCTCCTGGAACGACACCCATCGCGGCACCCATGGGTCTATAACTGGGAGCTGTGGTTGCAGCCATCGCCTGGGGTTGCCAATTGACACCTGATCCAGATTTTGCTTGGTTTTTGGGCGAATTCCATTGCACTGTCCCACCTCGACTGCCGCTATCTATGGTCAAATTTTCTGCTAGAGACAACAGACTAGATTCCAAATCACCCGTGAGAAGCTTCTGGGCCTGGGTCCTAGGTGGCATCGCCTGGTTATTTGCATTGGCAACTGGGGAAGCATTTTGTGCTGGATTAATGGAATCGAAAACAGACGGTTCACTAGAATTAAAATTACCACTGATATTATTACTAGCAGCAAACATATTCGGCTGCTGGGGCTGCGTGAATGAAGCCGGCTGACTAGTGAATCCGTTACCCCACATATTATTCTGGGTGGTTGCAGAAGGTGCTGAATTAGGATAAAAGTTGGTTGTACGTGTTGCTCCCATGGTTGCTGGTGTGGGAAAGAAATTATTGGTGGTTGTTGTAGAAGTCTGTGAGCCAAAGAAGTCTGAAGCAGTTGTTGTAGGAGCAGAAAAGTCTGCAAAGGGATTCCCCAATCCCAGTAGGTCATCGATAGCTTTGGAAGGTTGTGCAGATGGTGGAGCTGGAGCTGTAACTGGTTCTGAACCAAATAAGTCGATTATTTGATCTCCTTGGGTCTGTGGAGTAGCCTTTGTAGGTGAACTGAGGAATGGATTAGTGCTTGCAGCAGTAGGAGAGCCAACAGATGATTTATACTTGTTCATTGCAGCTTCTTCTTCAGCTAGTGCAGCTTGTTTTGTTGTATCATCTAATTGATTGTTATTAGCCACTGATCCAAAAGCATTGCTTGTAGTTGAAAGAGCTGAAACACCTGATTTTAAATTTTTCTGATTACTTGAAGCCTGTGTGGGAGTGTTTCCTTCTAATGATGCCAAATGTTGCTCCAAAGCTTCCAACAAACTGTTTGGTGCTTTAGTTAAGTCTGGGATATCACCTTTATCAATACCAATATTTTCTGCTACTTTTAAAAATTCACCTACTCTATCCATTCGAATTAAGAATTTTTTATACAAATCTAATGCCTCTCTGCACTGCTTTTTGTTCATTTCAAAATACTTTTCAAGTAAATTAATAATACCATCATTATAACATGCAAATAATCTTATCAAGTCTCTAAATAACAACATGAAACACATATTAATGACACCATTTGTTAAATCATTTGCTGTACAATCAAATTCTAATAATGCATCAAGTTGGTTCTGTAATACAGGTAGAGTTTTCAGCAAATTTTCTGTGTTCATAGTACGCAGGGTACCCTCCTCCTTTCCCCGTTTTACTTTACAGAAGTCAAAAGCTACAGCCCTGTATGAGAGAGCTTTTTCATTTATGTACCTTGCATACCTTCTTATAAATGGGGACATGTCATAGCCTGTACGTGCACCTACAGCACCTTGCACTCCTGATTTATCCACAAAATTTGAAAGTTGAAAAGATGTATTGCTCGAGGCTAGATATTGTGTAAACCGTTCATTACCGTAACACATCAAGTGATGGGTGGTGATAAGAGCTTTAAAAACGACCACCCAACTAGTGTTCTGTGACCTTTCTATCAGTAAATTGGCCATGTGAGGTATAGAAACGTTTGGTTCGTTGGTACAATGGACGAGGTAATCCAAGTGCTTTTTCTTAGGCCCCAGGAGTTCCTCGGTGGTTGCCTTACATACCGATTTCGCCAGACCCTGACCCGCAAGGCTGTGCTTCGCCGCCAACAGGCGATCGTTTATCGTTTGTCCGGCCATCACTACTACACTACAGATAAAAACGAAAGCGAACACACAGATTTTTCACAATTCCACGTTAAGTCTTTCAACTAAGTTGACGAAAAAACAAAAATTTCTTAGTTGAAAAACGACACACGATATGTGACGGGTCGATATCAGCCGTCGACCGGTTGAATGAATCAATAGAAATATTTTTGACACGCAGGCGCGTCAACACCATTGAGCTCAATAGAATTATTGAATGAACTCAACAGCATTGCCAGATTTACATTATTTAATTCTAATAAGCAAAACAATTTATAATTCACATAGCGTTGTTAGATTGATTTAAAGTAGCAAAAACGTAAAATCACTGATTACAGTTCGTAAATTAACCTTAGATGCAATAATTGCAAGAGCAATATATATTTTATTTAATGTAAAATTTCGTATTTTAAATAATAAACTGAGTCACCAAAAAAGTACATTAACATTTCAGAAATATGACGATCTTATTATTTTATTGTTCAGAAATTCATGCAAACATGTAAAAGGTGAAGTAAAGGTCATTCTCTCTCTTTTCGTATGTTAATAGTTATGATAGGCAATTGTGCTGCCCTCTATATCACTCCTATCCAACTATTAACACACAGCCCTCCAGATGCAAATAATTTAATACAAAAAACATGACTGTAAGTGACGTACTAATTTAAATGATTAATGGAAAAGGAACGTTATCATACTACGTCACGCCCACTAATCGATACACGAGTTTGTGTATATGCCATTCAAAATTAAAAAAGAAAACAAGCAATTTATAGTAATTTTATGCCAATCTTTATGAGAATAGTTCATGTACCACCAAGCACTTATTTTTAATTATAGTAAAATGAACTAATTAGGCGCGACTTTAATAGCGAGTAATTAAAGAACCATTTAAAATATAAAAAATGCAACATTTAGCAAGAATTCAGGAAATAGTTTTTGGAAGGACTGCCGCATAAATAAATTGAATTTACATTAAAAATATACAAGCAACTTAGAGCTAATTAAATGAAAATAGATGGAAATCTATTACTAATGAATAAAATCAGTTGATCAATTTCTAAAGAAAAAGATTAAAATTTTTTTTAAAAGTATAGTAAAATGAATAATGCATTCCAGAAATGATCATTTAAAATACATGGGTCTAGAAACAGTGTTTACTTTTCTATTAAAAAAAAAGCTTACCATCATCAATAGAAATACAAACAGGCTGTATTTTTGGAGACCATGTTCTATCTTCAAGACACAGCTGTGCACTGTCTCCCACTAAAGTATATCCTGATGCACAACTATAATGCAATCTTTGTCCTACCGCATAAGGATTGTCAAAATCATTTTTTTCTTGAACATAATAACCATTAATCACAGTCTTTGGCGGTTCACACCCTATAGGTTGACAAGTTGCTACTGGCCCTGTCCAAATACCCTTTTCACATACACGGTACATACTTTCAGGAGGTGACAAGAAAAATCCTGCATTACATCTATATGTAGCCAGTGCACCCTTACGATACAGACCATGCACTGCCTCACCTTAAAATAATTAAAATTTGTGTTAAAACTACGACAAATTTCAATATTTATAAATCTGTATGATAATAAGAAACAACTTATTAAGGAAAAGTTATTTTGAGGTTACCTTCAACATCCACAGTTCCATATATCACAGTTGGTGGTGAAGTACACCTAGCTACACAATGGGGTCGTACATGTTGTTCCCATTGACCATCTACACACCATACCTTTGGGGGTCCTATTAAATCAAATCCTGGGTCACATGTGATATGTATCGTTTGCTGTGAAAGATCTATATTGTCACCACTGTCTACTATTTTAAAGGAACCGTGATCAATATCTCCATGTTGTATACGATAATCTGGACATTCCTGAGTTTCAGTTTTATTCGATAAAGTGCAAATTGTTAGATACAAAATAATTGCAAGGATGATTTGAATAACTTCAATTTTCATGATTATCTACAGTTGTCACTTAAATTTAACCAGAATTAATGTTTTAAATAAACTAGTTCACTACTATTAATTAGTTTATATCACTGTTTAATCTATTTTCATGGGGCGCGACGAAAATTAAATGCAAAAATAACTTTGTTGACAGTAGTCGACATTTTTATAATTCAATCAGCTGTTCCGACTGTTGTATACATACTTACATACCCTCTATAGTATACATGTACACAACAGAAACTTCCATAGATAAATAAAAGCGAAGGGTCCTTGAAGGATCACAAAAGCAGGATATATATTTTTGTTGTAATTTTAATTCAATTTTTTAATCGATTATTTATATTTTGGCATTTTAATTTAATTTTCTAAAACGGATTGCACTTTACTAAGCACCAAATATAGTTAATTTTTTTTTTCAAAATATAAATGCTATAGGTACCTAATGCATTTCAAGTTTTGAATTGAGGATTCAACTGAAAATCTTATTAATAATATTCTACAACTGTTTGAATCAAAGACCATTATCAAAGAATCTATAATCATAATCTGTAATAGTTATAAACTCTTTGAAAATGGCCCTTTATATATACATTACTAGTTCTTCCTCTTGCCCCGGCCATTTTTATTGCTCCATTATGACGTAGTGTCGGCCATCATTCTTTTTAATTGTTGCAGTTGTCGGCCATCATTCTTTTCTAATTGTTGCAGTTGTCGGCCATCATTCTTTTTCAATTGTTGTCGCATTGTCACTGACGTCGGCCATTATGGTTTTTTAATAGATGTATA